TATTATTTTTTATATAAAAATATGGCTGAAAGTATTCGTACGAATTTGCCTATACCACGTCAAAAGATGATGATTGCATATGGTCCTTCGAGCCGGATGCAGCACAAAACCCGGCTCGAAGGACCACATTTATTCTGCACTACTAATAATACTAAGCAGCAGGATATTACCTGATACGAGCCCTTACGAGGCTAAACTCACCCGAACAGCATGTAATAAAATCACTACGTTAGGTCGACAATTCGCCACTCCTGTATACGTGCACAAATACAGTGTGTCCCACGCAAAAATTATTTTTTATATGCTACATTCATCTTTCATCAACGTTTTTTAATTACGTTATTGTTATTGACAACTGTTGATCGTAACCGTAATTAATTAATTAATGCAGTTGACTGTGACGCGTCTGAAATTTACTAATTTTTCGAATCGGTCATCAGTGTGTCGCGTTCTTATCTACAACCATAAAGTTTTTAAATTGAAATGCATGTACCGTTTAATTAAAACATGTTAAATTTTATGATATTATTAACATTAATACACGTTTTATTATTATTTATTTTAATGTTGGCTTGTTACAATCGAGTATTATATTAAAGCAAAACTAATTGAAATGCCATATACTTTTCTGCATTATTAGATTGATGTTCTATTAAATTTTATTTACTGATAAAATGCGTTATCGAGTAGCCGACTTTTAGTTGGTCTCGGTACCATTACCATTACCTTTTACTCGTCTGTTAGTTTGATGTATTTGAAGACTTTTTGTTCTGTGTTCACCGGGCAAGTCTTGAAGAATTAACGACCGGAAATAGAATCTTCATTAGCATAGAAAACAAAGATTATATCTGGCGTATGGTAGTATGGCGATGCATAATAAGTTGCCAATGTAGAATACAACACAGAAATAACGAAGCCGTTGCTGCATTTTTGATACAAAAAAACTTCGTACTTTTTGTTAGTTGCTTTCACGACTACAAAACTCGTTGTAATTGTAAACTTCGTACGCTTAATTAAAGTAAAAAGAAAAAAGGATAACAGTACTGCAGTGATATTATATCAATAATTGTATTTAATAAACAATGATTTACCAGAAATGATGAAACAGTTAGTTTTACAACACTGTATTACATGACCCAGAAAATATTCAAAACATTTCATCTACTATCTCGTGATTTTATATTTAATCCTTATTGACCTAAAAAAGTCCTGGATCCTAAAGGCCAAAGTTGAATTTAATAATATTTAAACGATCTAATTTTTCACTAAAAATTGAAAAATCAAACTGAAAAAAAAAAAACTGTAACGACTATATTGTCCTTGAATATCCCCTTTAGTCCTTAAAACTTATTATATTTACAATACCGTAATAGCGTTTCTTATTAACTTTAAAAAGGTCCAAGGTCCTAAGCTACGAAGATGAATTTAATAATATTTAAACGAAAAGTATGTTATAGGAAACTGTAATGGCTACATTATCGTTTAGTCCCCCCCCCCTGTAGTCAATAAAACTTACTTAAAAACTGCAATAAAATTTCGTACTAATTTGAAATTGAAAATTGGTCCGTATACAATGTGTTTTGCACTTTTAATTATCTGCATGTTTGATTCAATTATTTCATTGCGAATTATTTTTTGGCGAATCAAATTCATTGTTAGTTAGTTGTGTTATGGGCAATTTGCTACAGCCTTGAAGTTTCCATTCATACGACTATGTACACTATTATAGTGCCGAATTGAGAATAAAAGACCTAGCAAAGAGATACATCTTCTATTAATACATGCAATCGTCAAAGTTCAAAGAACATCATCTTCGGTAAATACGATATGATATAAGACAATTCATACGTAGAATTTCAGTCATCAATCATATAAATGATAGTATAACGAATGTTATAACGCTTTGTTCAAAAGATTTTGAAAGAAATGGGTAATTTCTGTGTTCGGAAAACATTTTACCTTACCTGTATATGTTTATACAAGAAGAATGCAGATAAACTAGCGGTTTCTAAATTTGGGTACAAGATGAACTTTTGTTTGTTGCTCTTTGTTGGATGACGTTAAAAATATCCCCTGCTGAACGTAAATAACGTTTCAAAGTAGGTGTATGTGTATGTTATACATAATTTATTGATTCTTTGAAGAACTCAAAGGGGTTGACAATAGGGAGATGTTTTGTGAGTTGAACTTCTCGCAATCACAAACAAAAGAAAATAATGATGAAAAATCTTTATAAAACATCTAGAAATAAATACGTGTGTAACTCGATAATGTAAAGTAAGTGAAAAAACCAATGAAACAGCAAAAATATTTATAAGAATTCCCAGTATTCTCTCTAATGGTTTGGGTAATATACGTATGTTGCGATAAAGTGCATTATGTTTTTATCAAAACAACATGTGGACGTATGTATTTAGAGGATGTAGTTTATTGTCCCGTATTATTTTATTACTCTTCCTGATGAAAACACATGTTTTCCAAAATTGAATTGGTAACTGGTATTTTTAGCACATTATTTTCAATTAACATTTGCTTAATTTTATTTGCTTTTATTAACGATACTTTGAGACTTATATTTATATTAATATTACTTTATTTGTATTGCGGCTTTTTCAAACCCAGAACAACAATCTAGTAATTAAAAATTTCGAAAACAGTATTTTTAAAAGCTTTCAAACAACGTCCTACACGGTATACAAAGAAAAATGCCTCCCGCTGGGTTAAACAGTGGCAAAACTTCACCCTTTGATTAATTCCTACATTCTGGCAGATACTGTTTACAATTTATTTGGAGCCCTATTCCTAGCTGTACAGCAAGGCACATGGTATATGTACAGCCAAGAGCCAAGCCAATGTTTTTGTAATGCATAATATATATGAAGGCTCATGTCGTCCTGAACTACCTATACAACACTTTTCTTATGGATTTCTTACTAATGTCGTACCTACTTGCTAAGCTTTCAGACAAAAATTAATTTCCTTTGATTTTTAAACGTGTTACAGTCTCCATAATGAATGGACTCAATGGGCATACGAATGGGGACCTTAACGGGTGCGACATTATAACTCAGAATCAACAAAAAGGCTGCTGGACAATAGGCCTTATCAATTCCAAGTTCAAGTATCTTACAGCAGAGACTTTCGGTTTTAAAATAAACGCAAACGGCGCTTCGCTGAAGAAAAAACAGATATGGACTTTGGAGCCAGATTTAGCCACCAGTGGCGAAAGTAAGACCGTAAAATGTTACTAGATACCGAGTGTTTTAAAATTATGCCCAACATATTTTTTTTAGGCTACATTTATCTGAAATCCCATCTGGACAAGTATTTAGCTGTTGATTCCTTCGGGAATGTCACATGCGAAAACGAAGAAAAGGACCCAGGGTCGAAATTCTTAATAAGCGTCGCTGAAGATGGTACAGGACGATGGGCATTCCGGAACGTCGTGCGCGGATACTTTTTGGGCGCCAGCCAAGACAAACTAACTTGCACCGCGAAAATCCCCGGGGATGCTGAATTTTGGCTAGTCCATTTGGCTGCAAGGCCTCAGGTTAGTATTAATTTTATGGGACTTTTACCCTCACTTATTGGACATTCTTTTTCAGATAAATTTGAGATCTGTAGGTCGAAAACGGTTTGCTCATCTGTCAGAAAATCAAGAAGAAATTTATGTCGATGCCAACATCCCGTGGGGCGAAGACACACTATTCACCCTCGAATTTAGGGCAGACGAATCTGGCAAGTACGCCCTCCACACGTGCAATAACAAATATCTGTCCCTTGGAGGTAAGAAATTCTTCTTTTTTTTTTGTACAATTTACATTTATCCCTCCGTTTTTCCATTATTATTAAACTAAGTTAGTCCAACATAAAAATTATTGGCAAACAACCAGAAAGTACCGCTTGAATAAACAATAAATTCTTTAGCAAACACATAGACATTTACAAATTTTTATTGTTTGTGTAAAAAAGTGAACCGGTCCGACAAATTCCTCATTGCAATTTTCGCTGCTGTTCGATCAAAATCGTAGGACATGCTTCGAAATGGCGTTCAATAATAATGATCATGCCCACACGAAGAAGTTCTGGTATAAGGTCAACGGCATCGTCTTCTCGCCATGTACAGCACATATTTGTAAGGAAGAGACCGCGAATGTTATTTGTACAGTTGAACACAATAATAATTGTGCGACAGATGTTAGACGATAGAACCGAATTATTGTTGCAAGTAATTGTTACAGTGTACCTATCCAATGTAAAATAATGATTTGTACGCACATCTATTTAGGTCATACGATTTACGAAAGATCTGTTCAACACGATTTTGCGAATCTCAAAAAGTAGAGAACTAGTTTTGAAAATCCTCTTGGCATATTAATAATTATATGGTCTCTATTGACAAAAGCGAGGAATTGATTAAAAAAAAAGGTAGTCACAGTAATTAAAATACTATTTTGCAAATGTATTTGTCTGTATGGGATTATCTCAAAAAGTGTCATCAACATAGGGTCGTCAGTCCTAAGACTGTTTTCCTATCCTCAGCTAATCTTCGTAATTCCCTGAAACTAGAACATCCCACATCCTTAACTATTGTAAACAACTATAGGGTTGTTCGGAAAGTCATTTCGTTTTTTTTTTTTGTGGAAATGAAAGACAGTTTTCGTATAATAAACAAATACTTTATTAAATTATATATTGACCGTTCTGGTCCAACACCTTTTGCCATCTTTCTGGTAGTAGCATAATTCCACGCTCATAAAATTTTTGGTCTTTGCTGGCAAAAAACTGATCGAGGAGGTTTTTGACCTCCTCATTTGAGGTGAAGGTTTTACCGTCTAAAAAATTTTGGAGTGACCGGAACAAATAATAATCCGATGGTGCCAGGTCTGGAGAATATGGTGGGTGTAGCATTGTATCCCATTCAAGCTGTAAAAGCTTTTGGCGAGTGACCAAACTTGTGTGAGGTCTCGCGTTGTCTTGGTGAAACACTACACCTTTCCTGTTGATTAGTTCTGACCTTTTCTGTTGAAGTGCATCATTCAGTTTGTCCAGCTGATGACAGTAGACTTCCGAATTAATCGTTGTGTTATCCGGTAAAAGCTAAAAAAAAACGATTCCTTTAAAATCCCACCAAACAGACAGCATCACCTTTTTTTGGTGAATATCGGCTTTGGAAATGGTTTGAGCCGGTTCATCTTTTTTGCTCCATGACCTCTTGCGTTTGACGTTGTTGTATACAACCCATTTTTCGTCCCCAGTGATGATGCGCTTCAAAAACGGATCATTTTCGTGACGTTTGAGAAGCGAATCGCAGACGTCAATGCGGCGACACAGATTTCTCTCTGTGAGAACATGGGGAACCCATACATCGAGCTTCGAGGATAATCCCAGGCCTTTCAAGTGGTCATAAACTGTTGAATTTGATAAATTTAACCTCAATCCGATCTCACGTGTTGTTATTCGCCGGTTCACATCAACTAATGCCTTTATCGCGTCTTTATCAGCTTCAACCGGCCTTCCCGAACGTGGTGCATCTTCGACATCAAAATTGCCGGATCGAAATTTAGCGAACCAGTTCTGGCACTGGCGTACTGTCAACACACCTTCTCCATACACATCAGTCAATTTCTTTCTGGCTTGAACAGCATTTTTACCCTTTCTGTAGTAAAACAGTAAGATATGTCGAAAATGCTGCTTATCGCTCTCCATATTTAAAAGGGCACCAACCAAAAACTACTGCGTAGAATTAATTGGAATTTTTCACACACAAGCCTTGCTATATGAGCTCTCAAAGCATATAAAAATTATACGGCCTAAATGTGAAGTTGGGTGCAAAAGAATACAATTAAATCCTCTGTCGGGAAAAAACGAAATGACTTTCCGAACAACCCTATATTATGAATAATAATCTAATCTAGCTCCACCTCTACTCCTATTAACTCTTATTTCTACTTCTAATATATATATATATATATATCTAACTAGCCCTTTATGCCTGAGGTATCCTACCAATCTATCACTCCTACTTTTTATTGACTTACGTAATTAATTTTAAATTTAATTTTTTAAATCGTCGTTTAGGTAAACTGGTTGACAAATGTTCGTCCGACTGTCTATTTACTGCTGAATATCACAGTGGTTACTTAGCCCTACGTGACAAAAATGGTTCCTATTTAAGCCCTATTGGTTCGAAGGCTGTACTAAAAACGCGATCAAACACTGTAACCAAAGATGAATTATTTTCACTCGAAGATTCACTGCCTCAGGCCAGTTTTGTAGCGGCTCTGAACGCAAAATACGTTTCTGTGAAACAAGGTACGTCTTTCAATCGCCCTGTATAACTATTTTAAATGTTAGATGCTTTAAAAACAATATAAGCAGTAAATAAGTAAACTTTTAATAAATGATAAAAACAAATACTAACATAGTAATAAGGTTCATTATCTATCTGTAGATGCGGTCACACTGCGGTTAACTTCGTTAATTCCAAGATTATTAAGGCTTTTATTTATAGTGACCAGTTAGTAAATAATTGTTGTCGTTTTAATGCGGCGATAGTGTTCTATTTTAATCATTAATACTATTATCAAACAAGAAAGTCGATGTTACGTTGGTTTTTAAATATAAATTAATTGTTGTTGCAACATGTAATTCAAATATTTGTACAGTTTCTTCTTAACAAATAATACGTTATAATTTTGCTTTCGAATTCACTACATCAATATTTCTGTAGGGGTTGATGTAACTGCAAATCAAGATGAAATTTCCGATCACGAGACATTCCAATTAGAATTTGATTGGAGCACAAAGCGATGGTATATAAGAACGATGCAAGACAGATATTGGACCCTGGAAACAGGGGGTGGAATACAAGCAGCTGGGGACAAAAGGTGTGTGCCCTATCCAAAGACTCAAGTTCTTTTAATTTTTACTTTCTGTACGTCCTTTGTATAACGACAGCGACAAGATTTTAGCGAAAAAAGATTTTTTGTCTTGCAATCAAATCTTTGGTGTCTATCTCCGCTAATAATAGAACATTCTACTCTGTTTACGAATAATCCAGTTTCACTATAAAACTGCTTTAGGCTCAATAGTCGCAAATGATTTGAATTGTTTTTATTATACGTAGGTCGTCGAATGCCCTTTTCGATTTAATATGGCAAGGAGATGGTTCTGTGGCGTTTAGGGCCAACAATGGCCGCTACGTGACAACGAAACGTTCTGGTCACTTGTACGCAAATTCGGACGCTGTGGACGAAAACAGCAAGTACTTTTTCTATCTTATCAATCGCCCCATTCTCGTTTTGAAATCAGAGCAAGGATTCGTGGGGTACAAGTCCGGCAACAACACAAAACTCGAATGCAACAGGGCAATGTACGAGACGATTCAAGTCGAACGGGCCGAAAAAGGAGTGGTGTATTTTAAAGGTAAGATCATCATCATCATAAGGTCGTCATTCCTAAGACTGGTTGGACATGCACCTCCAGTCTCTCCTATCCTGAGCTAATCTTCGCATTTCCCTAAAACTAGAACATCCCACATCCTTAACTATTTGCGAACAGTAATCTAATCTAGGTCTACCTCTACCCCTCCTAACTCCCGTTTCTGCCTCTAATATGTCTCTGACTGGTCCTTCATGCCTGAGAAGGTGTCCTACTAACCTATCTCGCCTATTTCTTGTTGACTTCCATATAGTCTTCTGTTCTCCTATTCTTTCTAATACCTCTTCATTTCTAACCTTCTCTATTCACGGTATCCTCATCATTCGGGTGTAACACTACATTTCGAACGCTTTTAACCTTTTTTTTTCCGACGCGCCCACTGTCCATGTTTCGCACCCGTACAGCGCTGTTCTCCAAGCATACACCTTTAACAACCTTTTTCGAATTTTTAATTAACCGTTCTTTTTATTAAAGGCGACTCGACCCTACGCTATCCTCTGCTTTTTATCCCTACTATTCCTTCCGTCCTGACTTATCTGACTTATTGGATACCTAAAATCAATCACTTCTTCTAATTTTTCGTCTCCTATCTTTATATTCGCTCTTTCCCTACTTTTTCTTATCTATAAGTTATCTCTAACACCTCCTTGCTAGATGCTAATACTGCTATATCAAAAGGTAAGATATACAGTAAAAAAGCAACGACTCTGTTCTATAAATAATTTATATATTTTCTGAATCCATTACCACTTTAGCTTTTGTTTGATATTCCACTCATTAGACTTTAAAAATAGTTTATTTTTGGTACTCTAGGTAAGTCCAAGAATAATTCGCCCATAAACATTATTCCAATTGATTTCCTACCAGACATAGATCTAAGAGCCCCAAAACAACCCTTAATTTCCAAGTTTAACCCAAGTTTCACTTATCTAAAAAAGAATGCCCGGGAATCTACTAATAAAATTGTATAAAATCCTGCTCTCCACCAGGTCAAAATGGGAAATACTGGCATTGTGATAACGAGGGTGTGACGGCGGATTCTGACATTCCTGAGGGATTTTATTTGGAATTGCGGGAACCGACAAGGCTTAGTATCAAATCGGTAAACGGTAGTTATTTGACCGCTAGCAAAAATGGTGTTTTTAGACTCGGGGATTCCTCCTACGAAAACGCCACCCAGTGGGAATATTAAGCACCCGCTGCTGTTATCAGGACTACCACTACGTTTTTTTGTTTTTTTTAAATCAGTTTCATACTATCGATTTGGTTCACCACCGAAATAAATCAACCACCGCCGTGAACCGTCTCTACATAATTGTGACTTGTTTTGTAATTTTGTATAAGCAAAGTGAGATTTTATACAGGTTTTTATATTTATTGTATTGTATAATANACAATAATAATAATGATAATATTGTATTGACGACCATTGCTACTATTATTATAGGGTGATAAGCTACATTTTTTTTTTATTTCACGGATGCTGCTTTATGATATACATTATACACTTTCATCGAAACTTTGTAGTGTAAATTTAATAATTTTATACTTAAAAATAAATTTTGGCGTCCAAGAACATTATATATACATAGAATTTAATTTCTTTTCGTTCGAAACTTACGCCAGTGACTGTACTACAAATGAAACAAGTGGTGTACAGTGCGATTCAAAATTAATGTAGCAAAAATATCGATTCGTAGTAGGTAACGCTTATTTATTAAAAACGGAAAAGTTCGCTGGTACAATTTTTGAGTCACCCTGTACATTACAGATCTGAGTGTGATATTTTCGAAACTACCACCATAAGTCGCCCTTACAAATGAGAAAAACAGCACACTGCCAAACCAGTACATGTAGACAAACTATTATTGCAGCCATTTAATTTAAACACCCCTAACACTGATCGTGAGTGAGAATTTGTAAGGGTTGTAGATTTTCTTATAGAACGTAAAATTTTTATATACGCGGTTCATTCCAAAAATTTCACGTACTTTGAAGGTATTTTATCAAACACTAACTAAAAATTCTTTTGCAAACATTTTTTGTTGCAAAATTAAGACTGACAACTACAAAGTACTTACGAAAATGTTTGAATTAATGTGCAGGAAGTAAATGAATTAAATGAAGCAATAAAATTAATTAATTGTCGTCGTTACAATTAACTTTTTCTGATTTTTTTTTAATCGTTACTGAAATATTTAAAAGGTACGCCAGATATGCATTTAGTTAATATACCATAATAATGTAATGTCATTTTGTATACTTAACGTCTCTATTTAGCGTAGATTAGGCATTGTAATAGTACTTAAATTTATGTATACGTGATAAAAAAAGAATAAAGGTAAGAATTCTTAAAAAAATCAATTTAATTTTCCGCAAGACCTATAGAAACCACAATAAATAATCAAAATCAAAGATGGTAGATACTTGTGAATGAAAATTGTTGACTTACCCCTGTATATTGCTCGTTCCACTTGCTTGACCTCTCTGTACCCCCCATTCCATATAGACAGTCTGCAATAAATTATTTAATTTAATGTTTTAATTTTAGACAGTTGAATGAGAATGGGACAAAAAACAATGAAAAATATAAAATAATTATTTAATAAAAAATCATAACATATCAAAAACCACATAAAGTTATGATGATTTAATTATTTCTAGAGACGTAATATTTTATGGTTTGTTCGTGAATTGTATTTAGTTTTATAAAAAAAGTTATTTCTCTGGGGAAAAACGTTTTCCAAGTTTCTTTGCAATTAAATTATTAAGAGTTGTAAAATTTGCTGTATGTTGGGTTGTCTACATATCTATTATAAATTACAAGTTGTAGTATAATTGCAAAAAATATGAATTAACATCCCCTTTAACTACCTACATGGAAGGAATATAACATAAAGATGAAAATTTATCGATTTACTTCAATTTAACTGGAATTATTGCTTAATTATAGCGGTTTTTTAAATTGTCCCGGCACCTCCACCAACATTTTTATTTTCATTAATAATGTTTATATACATACATGACTTATTTTCAACATTTAAACGGTAGTTTAAGATAAAAATAAACTAAGAACTCGTAATTCATAACTAAATACTGTTTGTTTAAGAAATATTTCATGTCCTCTATTTTTTATTTTTTTTAATTCCCCAACAACGAAATAACAGCATAGTGAAAAATACAAAATAATTATTTACTAAAAATCATAATTTTCACCAAAAAAGTGAGAAAAAACGTTTTCTAACCGACTTTGTAGTCACATTATCAGGATTGTAATATTTGCTGTATGTTGGGTTGTCTACATATCTATTATAAATTACAAGTTGTAGTATAATTGCAAAAAATATGAATTAACATCCCCTTTAACTACCTACATGGAAGGAATATAACATAAAGATGAAAATTTATCGATTTACTTCAATTTAACTGGAATTATTGCTTAATTATAGCGGTTTTTTAAATTGTCCCGGCACCTCCACCAACATTTTTATTTTCATTAATAATGTTTATATACATACATGACTTATTTTCAACATTTAAACGGTAGTTTAAGATAAAAATAAACTAAGAACTCGTAATTCATAACTAAATACTGTTTGTTTAAGAAATATTTCATGTCCTCTATTTTTTATTTTTTTTAATTCCCCAACAACGAAATAACAGCATAGTGAAAAATACAAAATAATTATTTACTAAAAATCATAATTTTCACCAAAAAAGTGAGAAAAAACGTTTTCTAACCGACTTTGTAGTCACATTATCAGGATTGTAATATTTGCTGTATGTTGGGTGATCTATGTATTACAATTGTAAAAAGAAAAATATAATAAATAGCATAATTAATGAAGAAAATAGTATTTACATTAGGGGTAGAAAGTTCGCCACGGTAATTTCCAATTATAAAATCCTTTTTACTAATGTCCTACAACAACTTTAAACAAAAAGGTGTAACAACGCGACTATTCACTATACGCCATTATAATTGCACAAATGAATTCAAAGGCTTCTTGGATTTAAAATAAAATTACCATCAAGAACAATAGAATGCGCATAAAACTAATAAAATGTTATAAAAAAAAACTTATGTGACCTTTTTTAATTGTTAAACTCTAATTTAAAATTTAAATTGGGTAATTTATTCCACTTATTCTTATTGGTCGAATATTGGGTAGAAATACGTGGACGAATTATAAATGTTGGCGTATTCTATAATCCTAAAACTTTCTTACCATATAAATAACCTACGATTGAAGATGATTATAACTAAAGTCAATATATGAAACATGTTTTGCAAGTTTGTGGAACTCAAACATCCCTTTTCTGTATTAAAACTGCATTAAATGATAAAATAACACACGCGATAAACATCAGAAAACATAGGTTATGTTTGTTTGTTTGAAAAACTTAAACATAACTTAAAGAAGGTTATGTTCATCTATGGCTATGTTTGTTGTCTTCATCACTTCAACTAAATAATCGGTTGTTTTTTATTAAAACACCGCTTAAAATACTTGACCTAAGTATTAAGTGCTTTAAGTATTACGTGTTATTAAAGTAGACATTTAGAAAAAGTATTGTTCCAGTAATTTCTTCAAATATTGTAAACAATATGGTGTAATAAAGTCGTGTTTTCTATCAATATTTAAAGTAAAGACGTTTTAACTTAAATTTTCAAAAATGGGTAGTGATTGTGAAGCTAGTGAAGATACTGTAACGTTAATAGGTGAACATGGTTCAAAAGGACATTGTAAAAGTAATTTGAAAGGTGACAGGCTGAATATCGCATTGCTGTTTTTTTTGTATACACTCCAAGGCATTCCACTTGGTTTAAGTGCAGCAATTCCAATGATGTTACAAAATCGTGGGATTAGTTATAAGCAACAGGTACAATTATTGTCTTGCTATCAACCACAAATAATGTATCCTCATCAAATGCATTGATTCTAGGCTGAATTTAGTTTTGTTAACTGGCCCTTTAGCCTCAAACTACTGTGGGCACCAGTTGTAGACTGCATTTATTCTGCTAGATTTGGTCGAAGAAAATCGTGGCTTATACCAACACAGTATTTAATTGGAGCATTCATGTTATTGCTAAGTAGTTATGTGGACCAGTGGCTAGGAAATGAAAGCACAACTCCAAATGTTGCTGTATTAACATTGCTTTTCTTCATACTTAATTTTTTGGCTGCTACTCAAGATGTAGCAGTTGATGGGTGGGCTTTAACCATGTTAAAGAAACAAAATGTGGGATATGCATCGACTTGCAACAGTGTGGGACAAACTGCTGGATTTTTTCTTAGTTTTATTCTCTTTATGGCTTTGGAATCTCCAGAATTTTGTAATAATTATTTAAGAAGTATGCCACAAAAAGAAGGTACCTAATATTTGTTGTATTTGTTTTGTTAAGGTTGAAATTTTTATTTTTTGTATTTTAGGAATTGTTACTCTGCCAGGATTTTTGTATTTCTGGGGCTGGATATTCCTCTTAACAACTACTGTAGTGGCTTTATTTAAAACTGAGCGCAAAGAAGATGTGGAACATGACAATTTTGCCAATGGCGATCTTAAGAAAGCCTATTTGCTGCTTCTTCAAATTTTAAAATTGGGACCTGTCCAGATTCTGGTTGCTATTCTATTGACAAGCAAAGTACATACTTTATTGCGTGTGTTTTGTTAATTTTTGATGTTAATTTCTCTTGTAGATTGGTTATTCAGCCACTGATAGTGTTATGTTTCTTAAATTAGTCGAAGCCGGAATTCCCAAGGAAAAATTGGGACTTATGGGGGTTCCTTTGTTGCCCTTACAAATTTTATTACCCTTAGTAATATCCAGATACACCCATGGTGAGCTATAGCTAATTAATTTGCGCTTTAATAATTTAAAAGTGTTATTTGTATATGAAATTTATTTTCTATAACAGGTCTGAATAACAATAAAAATAATGTTAATAACTAATACTAAAAAGGTATTGTCATCATTCAACACCATATTTATCAATAATCCATTTTAAACGTGTTGCACTTTTCTTTTTCTTTCGTGTACTTTTTCTGCAAGTGTTCTGCAAACTTTCTATCGATTTATGCGGGGAGGACTCGTTGAAAACCATATTTTCAAGTATACTAGGTTTTTTCTTGGTTTCATAAAATAGCTTCCACTCTTTCTTTCTGTTAATTCTATTAATATTGTTAGTGTAACTGATCATCTGAACTATGGGATAGTTTGTTACTATTTTATACACAATTTTGGGTGGGAATTGGTTTCCTACTAACTTAAAAACTAACGAATGTCCTTTTCCCCTGTCAAATATCTCAATGTCCATGGGATCGAGTCTTTTTAATAAACTGAGTGGATTTTGTCGTCTCAGTTTGTACAGGAGACTTTTTATGTCTTTAAATGTCTTCATATCCCTATACCTTTTCCAGCACCTTTTTATCACGTTCGCAGCAACATTTGCAAATGTATTATCTCGATAATAGATCTGTAAAGTTGGTTTGAAATGATCGAAAAAGCAAATGTGACCCCCTAAAACGCTCTCTTGTAAGTAAAAGTCGTGATCATCTTCTAGTATTGAAAATACGTTGTCTTCTTTATAGTCTCGAACCATTCCTGAGATTAGATGATTCTTTTGTTGTTGTTTACAAGCACAAAACATAATATTTTTCTACTTAATTTTTATCCTTTATTAATTTAGACTTTAATTCCAGGTTCTTTTTGCAGTTTGTGACATATAATTGACTTAAATAAATGTAAAGTCAATTAATTTGTATTATACACAAACGTTGATATTTTATTTTGCTTTTAACTTGTAAATATTAATCTTTATTTTCCCTCAAAATGGGTCATTTTATGGCACCTAGTCATTTGCACATTCAATCTTTAAATAAGGGACGACCTTGTGTATTGTTTTAGGGCCCAAGCCTTTGAACATTTATTTGGCAGTAATACCGTTCAGACTGTTCTTTGGTGTAATTGCGGCATTTTTGGTATGGGTCACCCCCTATATGGTACCTGAAGGCTCGGAAGAACTGCCAATCTCTTACTATTTGTTGCTTCTAATTTGCTATGCTGTACACCAGGTATTCATATTTTATTCTCAATAAAAACAGCTCCTCTCAGTATATTAAGTAAAAGTTAAAAAATATTTCAGGTGTGTTTGTATTCAATGTTCGTTTCTGTGATGGCATTTTTCGCCAAAATAAGCGACCCCTCAGTGGGAGGGACTTATATGACTTTATTGAACACAGTGACTAATTTGGGGGGCAATTGGCCTGCCACTTTGGCCTTATGGTTTGTTGATATGCTAACTTTTAAGCAATGCGAAGGAGTTAGTTTCACAGACAACACTTGTAGCAGCAAATTGGAGAAGGGGGTAAATTTGTTTTTGTTTTTTAGTTGACTCGTTTAAATTTTTTTTTTATTTATTTTTAGGTTTGTGAAGGAGCTGGTGGTAAATGCAGGACTTGGATAGACGGCTTTTATGTGGAAACAGTGATATGCATATTAATAGGTTTGGCATGGCTGTCTTGGGGTAAAAGGAAAATAAATTATGTTCAATCATTAGACGAAAGGTCTTGGCGTATATCAAAAAAGTCCAGGTAGTTGACTCCCTTTGATAGCCAATTAATTTTATAGGAAATTATTGCACCTTTAACTCAATTTAATTAATTAATTAACTTGTATTGTCATTATTACTATTTTGTTGTTATAATTGATAATATGTCAGGGGAGTAAATAGTCTTTAATGTGGTATTTATTGGTGTATCAAGCAATATAATTGCTTTTTTGTTATAATTTATATTGGCTGTTATTTATTTTATTTTATTGCAAATCAAATGATGGAAAGGAAAAGTAACAATTAATAAATATGAAAACAACAGAAAAAATGTTATTTTTTTTTTCTTTTCTCTTACAGGGAGCTCATGTCCTAAGTTTTAATCAACGTCACCCGTTTATGCTGATTTATTTTCGTTGTTCTTTTGTGGTCGTTTTG